TTTATCGTTGGCAATCTTGAGCGCATTGCGGCTGATCCAAGTACCGTAGTGTAAATTTTGTGGTTATTATAGCTGACCCTTGAACTGAGCTTGAAAAAAATTTTTTCCGGTGAAATTTAACAATTAATTTATTAATTTATATAAAATTTAACAATTAATTTATGCTGTGGGGGAGGATTCTTAGCACCAACCTCCGCTCCCCAATCCTAGGCAGATGTTCCAGGTTTAAAAATGATTGTTCCAGACATAAAAAATGTTTGAATTAGAAGCGGCTACAGCTTAACATTGTAATTGTAATTTTAATTTTAGATGATGTGTATTTATGTAAAAAGAGTAAGGGTATGAAAGTAATGGAATAAAAGGGAAATGTGAATAAGTTAAATCGGATTAAAAACCTGAATAGGAATGTTTCGGTCCATCAAGTCGCATACATGTTCTGTTGTACTGTTCCCAAACGGACAGCTGTTTCAGCAGCTAACTCCATAATTTGTTCTTGAAAAGACCGATGTGTTCATTTTGATAAGCTTAAGCTTATATAATTTCGGTTGTGAATGTTTTTCTGTGTCACCGGTTTCATCTATCTGTTTTGCTCCACACACTTTGACTCCTAAAAAAGAGGAAAAGTGCGTTTTTTCATTTTCACTGGTTTGTGTATTGTTGTTTTTTGTTGTTTTCTGTTCGGTTCTTTTTTCGGGTAAATTTCCAAATGAAAGGGAAAAGGATTGCTCATTTTTGAATATGCCAAATATTCTCTCATTTATCGGAAATTTGCAAATTTTCATTTCCATCTTATATTTAAAGATTGGCTTCAAAAATTGGTAGCGCCTTTTTACAAGTGTTTACAGAATTGGACTTTCATAATTTAAGTTCTTTGGTGATTTGTAAACTGCTTTATGATTTTTTTTTTACGTCTGTGATATATTGTAACGGGGGTATCTGTACTCTGTTGGATTCGGTGTTCTTTGGTTTCTGTTATATCTGTGAAATAAAATTTCTTTGTGTATGCTTCATCGAGTACTATTTTTTTTGAAGGCGAAGTGTGTTTTTCTTATCAAAATATCTTAGTAGTTTATTTTTTCCTCATTTCTACCACAAAAATAAGGTTTTAGCGCATTCTCCTTTGTAATTTTTTTAGAATTTTAACTTTGCTAAGGTGTCAAGAATTTATATATTTGAAGAGTCTGGGATTTTTTTAGTTGAAACTAGTTTGTTCGCATCTGGTCAATCGATGAGTTTGAATCATAATAGCACAGCATATGAAATATTGCTTTTTCATTTATTTTTCATTCATATTTCTCCATAAGCTCAACTGAAAATTTGTAATAATCAGCTTAATCTGTGAGAACTGATCTACGCAAGTTATCGATGTGTAGAAAGTAGGCTTGTACAACTGCGCCATGACCCTCCTTCCCCATCCTAGTCGGTTTTGATGCACTGATTTTCACACCCCAGGTAAGCGCGGTAGTCGCGTACGGGCCCCCAAATTTTTTCCTCGGTAATTTCATAACTCGCGAATTTGAAAAGCTAGAACGCTCATATCCTAGGTTCCTCTGCTTTTACTTTGCAGCAGTGTATTCACTGATGTACTTGT